CTCCCCTCCTCTCCCCCGCCTTCCGCCCCTCGGCCGACTCAGCGCCTGCAACCACTCGGCCCAGTGTGGACCTCCTGCCTGCCTAACGGTTCTCTCTTCTCCTCTGATTCTCTTCTCTCCTGCTGCTGCTTGCTCTCGGAAGTGTGGCTCTCCAGCTGGGCTGAGTCTCCTAAGAAGAACGTGACAGGTACTGCCTGGTGTGCATGTGAGTGCATGTGTGTGAACATGTGTGTCCCTGGCATGCAGGCCCACGGAGCCGGTGCCCTGTGATGTGTAGCAGCTCTTTGTCAGCATGTTGGCGTCTTCTCGGCCGTCCCTTCTGCCTTCCTTTCAACCCTTTTTAGGTCCCAGATCCAGCCTTGGAGCCCTTTGGTGGGTGATGACCACATAGCACAGTGTGTCAGCAAATGCACCCTGGACCCGGAATGTGTGGGTTTAGATCCCGGCTCTGCCATGTCCTGGTCTCGGGTTATGTAACCTCTCAAGTCTCCCTAAGCGGATGCGGTAGCATCTCACCGGGAGCCTGGTGCACAGAAAGTGCTCAGGTGGTGGTGAGGCTCCCATCACCTTCCACCCCGTGAGATGGGCCAGCTGAAGATCATTAGTCTCGCTTCAAGGCTGTTAACCCGAGGCAGAGAGCTGAGGCCGTGGTGGGTAGGGGGGTGGGGAGTCTTGTAACTGCAATGAAGTCGCAGCCCCCACACCCCGGGGATCCAGAGCTGGGACCTGCCTCTGGTCTCAGGGCTTCAGGACCTTGGGCTTCCTGGGCACCCATAGCCCTCAGGGACTTGGGCTTGTGCTCTGTGTCTGGGCAGAGCTGGGACAGAGGTCAGAGGCTTACCTTTAGCCTTGGTTTTGCTGGACAATGGTAGAAAAACCTGGATAGCAGTGTCCTCAGCTGTTAGATGGACATGGTGTCAGGTAGAGGGAAGGGATTTCCAGAAGGGTCTTCTAGAAGCCCCTCCATTTTTGTGAGTGCCACCTGGCCCTCCTTCCCCAGCCCAAACCTGAGAGCAGAGGTGAGGACCAGAGGTTGGACCAGCCCCTCCCCTCACAGCCGTAGCCAGGGAACGGGAGGTGAACAGCCTGGGCGGGCGGGCAGAGGAGAAGGCAGCAGGCAGAGGACCTCTTGCCTGTCCCAAGCCCCTCGCAGTCATCCTTCTCATGTTGCCTGTGACGAGGGCCTCGGCCTGAGCTAATCACTGGGCTCCCGTCCCTTTTTTCCCTCTCCCGAGACAGTGAGCCAGAGCCCACTTGGCCCACAACAATACATTTTATTCACCAAACGTATAGCCTGGCTGCCCAAGGGCCTGTGGAGGGGCCGGCAGGCTGAGGCTGGCCTGGGAGGAATCAGTTGTGAGAGACTGAAGGGACCTTGGTGGGAAACCCAGGGTTTGGGGGATCATGGAGAGCGTGGGGAGCCTGGGATGGGGGCCACCGTAGGGCTTGGCTTCTCAGGATGAGCCCAGCTGTTTGGAGAGAGAGCCTGAGGGGAGGCCATGTGGGCTGGGGGAAACCACCGGACCAGGGCCGGGGTCTTGGGCGAGTCGCCACGTCACTCTGGGCCGGCCTTGGTTTCCCCACCTGGAATGTTGGCAAGTTCAGTGAGACTGGACACTCAGAGGTAAGGGGCTGATGCTGGGGATCCTTGCGGATAAGGGGCCTCGGGCTGCTTGGGCTGGCATCCATCCATAAGTGGGCCCTGGGGGTTCTGATATGGCTCTCCAGCTGGTAAATGCTCGCTGCCTGCCAGGAGGCGGGGTCTGAGAAAGGCATGAGAAGGAACAGAGCCATGGCTGCTTCTCCTGGCAACTGTGGCCCTTGCCCTGACCTGCGTGCTGGGGTTTTGTTTGTTTGTTTGTTTGTTTTTTATAAATTATTTATTTTGGCTGCATTGGGTCTTTGTTGCTGCACGCGGGCTTTCTCTAGTTGCGGCAAGTGGGGGCTACTCTTTGTTGCGGTGCGCGGGCTTCTCATTGCGGCGGCTTCTCTTGTCATGGAACACGGGCTCTAGGCGCGCGGGCTTCCGTGGTTGTAGCACGCAGCCTCAGTAGCACGGCTTCCGTAGTTGTAGCACGCAGCCTCAGCCTGTCGCGGGCTCTAGAGGGCAGGCTCAGTAGTTGTGGCGCACGGGCTTAGTTGCTCCACGGTATGTGGGCTCTTCCCGGACCAGGGCTCGAACCCGTGTTCCCTGGCAGGCAGATTCTTAACCACTGCGCCACCAGGGAAGCCCCTGCATGCTGGTTTTGAGGCTTCAGAGGAACCTAAGCCCTTCCTCTCCTCCCCAAATCTCCCATTTCCTGTTTGCTTTATAAACAGTCTACAGTTTACGTAGAGCATTAACCCCATCACCTTATACCATGCTCAGAACAACCCCACAAAGTAGGTACTGTTATTGTTCCTGTTTATGGATGAGGAAGCTAAAGCTCAGAGAGGTTAAGTGTCCTCTGCAGGGTCACAGAGCTAATAAGGACAAGGCAGGACTGGACCTCAGACCCTCAGACTCCAGTTTGATGCTTTCGCATCACGACTCTCAGGCAATTATTGTGTCTAGTGCCATGTCCTATGGCACCAGTCCTGAGGCGTCTGTCTACCCTCATCAGGGAGACTCTTGTCTAAAGCACATGATCTGGTCAGGGAGCAGTGCTCCACAAGAAAATCCAGTGCATGACAGGAGCAAGCACTGTAGCTGAGTGATTGGATGGTTCCTGGAGGGACAGAGATGGTTGGGTAGAATTGGGGTTGGTAAAGAGGAAGGCATTCCCAGCAGGGGGAACAGCTAAAGCAGAGGCATGGACATAAGAACCAGCATAAAAGAGTGTGACTGGCACACAGTGGGTGCTTGATATCTGTGTGTTGATAAATGAATGTTGCCTGGATCAGAAGAGTTGTGTGTCAGTGAACTTGGGGAGCTCAGGTTGTCAAGAAAGACTGAGCTTGAATTTGGCCTTTCTTCTTTAGGCAGCAGGGACCCAGTGAAGGTGCTGGAGCAGTGGATTGACTTAGCAAAAGCCTCATTTAGAAGCCTAAGTTGGCAGGCAGATCAGGCAGGAGCTAGGGGTCCATCCAGTTGGTAGCGAGAGGAATGCAGGTGTGAGGCAGGCGTGGGGCAGGGCTCTGGGGCACTGCCAGAGCCCCAGCAGATCCAGCCAGGGGCTCTGAGAAAGGCACAAAGGTGAGATGGATGAGACCCTGACAGAAAGTCCCCTTCCAATCTGGGAGGGACTCTTCTCTCTATAAGGAGTACTCCCCTTCTCCATGCCACTGCCAAACGCTTCCTATCTGAAGACAGGAGGCTCGCTCCACTGCATCTCCCCCTCCCTCAGGCTGACTCCTTCAGCCCCCAGTTTTCCAGGCCTTGGCTGGGAGGGGATCCAGAGCAGCCTCTGTGGGATGACATCACCCACCGGCCTGCCTGCCGAGTGTTTTCTCATCTGGATACCTGCTCCCAGCTCACATCCGCCCGAGCAGCCCTGGGCAGGCAACACCCTAAGAGGTAGATGCCAGAGAGTGTGAGCTTGTGCTGGGGGAGGGGAGGGCAGTGAGGAAGACAGAGTGTCTGCCTGTGTGTCCATCTGTCCGTCCCCTAGGCTGTGTGCTACTGCCTGTCTTCTGTGCTCTGGAATGCCTGGAGAACATTTTCTTAACTTTTCTACCTGTGTCCCAGAGTGCCAGTCTTCAGAAAGCTCAGGCCAATTTCCAAGGGGTGGCGTGGAGGTGGGAGCAGTATGTGGGTTTTTCCCCTTTGAAATCTTGCCTCAGATTTCCTTGGCTTGGATTAAAATGACCTGATGTCTCTCCATTCCCCAGCACCCCGCTTATCCTCTCGAGCAGCTTTTGGCCACAAACCCATCACTCCTTGTTTCTCCCTGCCTCTGTTTCCCCATCTCCCCTTTTTCTCCCTTCCAGAATTTAGTTCTCTAGTTTTCCCAGATTTCGGAGGTGAGGCCCTGCCTGGTTTATCCGTATTGGCTCAAAGCAGCCGTTAAATCACTGTTCATCTATCTGTCCATTCATTCATTCATTTCACCAACAGTTACAGACCGCCTACCCCCAGTGGGCACTGTGGTCTGGTCAACAGATGCTACAAGAGTCAAGAAGAAACCCACACTCCAGTCTTTATTAAGCGGCAGCTATCTGCCAGATGTGGGGTGGGTAGGATGAGGCAGGGCCCCTCCTCGGGGTCAGTGGCTGTCTATAGGCCACAGACAGGGCGTGAGTCAGGACACAAGCAGTGGTGTCAGGAGGACATGGGTTCCATCCCAGCTGTGTGACCTTAGGAAAATTGCCTCATGAGCCTTAGTCTGTCTGTGTGTGAAATGGGGCTATAACAAGGGCCTACACCTGGGTTGTTCTGAGGATCCGATATGGTCTGCATTAGGTAGTGAGCATTAATGAAAGCTTGCTATTAATTGTCAGCATCATCTGGGCTCTCAGGCTTTGGAAGCTCTCTAGCCAGCTGGAGAACTCCTGTCTTCTGTTTCTGTCTTGCGTTTTCCTTTCCCACAAACTGGAAAGGGAGCCCCTGTGTCCCACAAGGGCAGGGGCTGGCCCTTTTTGTGCTGGCTGCCCTCACTACCAGCCCCCCGGGGACACAGTGGGAGGTAGTCTCTGTCAGCGCCGTGCCCAGCGCTGCCTCTGTGCAGCTAGCAGGGGTAGGCACAGGAGCTGGCCCAACCTGAGTGCAGAGCCAGGCCCACCCTGCTGCCTAGCTATTGGTTGCATTTTGGCCTGAAATACAATCTTGGCTTCGGTTGGGCTGCCTGGGGCAGTGCCTGTGCACATCCATGTGGCAGGCCTCAGCTGGGACAGGGTCCCTCCTGGGTCTCCAAAGGACTGAGCTGGGGCTGCAGGGTCTACACCTCATGGGAGAAAATTGCCAGGTGCAGTGGGTTTCTTTCCCTTCCATCGACCCCACCCTAGGTTGGATGGAGCCTCCCGCACAGAAAGACCCAAAGATCTAAGCAGCATTTCTCACCCTGGCCGTGTATGAGAACCATGGGAGAGGAGGGGGTGTCTAAAAAATACCTGAGACCAATTCAGTCTGCATCTCTGAGCGTGGGGCTCAGGCATCAGTGTACTTTAGAAGCTCCCCATATATTGTGGGACCAAGTTGAGGATCATTGTGCTAGGAGAATGGGATGTCTGGAAACATATCAGAGACAGTTCTGTAATGGAAAGAGAGATGGGCTTGAACCTAAAACACTGAGTGAATTTGGTTCTCTCCATAGCAACTGTGTGAGCTGGGGCAAGCCTCTTGTCTTCTCTGGGTCTCTGAGGTGTCTTTTGTGAAGTGGGAAGGTAACAAGGTTGTTGTGGGGATAAAATGGGACAGTGTATGAGCCTGGCATAGAACATTTGCCAAGTTAGACTCAGGCATGTTGGGAAGGTAGCTACGGGCTGAAGCACCAAGGGGGCCGTGTGGAGCCTGGGGACCCTCTCAGCCATTTCTATAGCCAGGCTGGTGGGGTGAAGCCCCCAGCCTTTCAGGAGACTGGTAGATGTACAGGGTGATAGACACAGAGTCTAAGAAGTATGCTAGGAATTCCTCTTGCCGGGGAGATGGAGAGGGGGGTCTGGGAAGGCTTCCTGTAGGAGGTGACCAGTGGGTCTGTGGTTCATGGATCCTTTCAGCTCCTAGCCAGCCATGTGTTATCTTAGGTGCTCTGTCCCCACTGCACTCTAGTGATGGTAATAGTGAGGCGCAGAGAGCTTTCAGCAGCACATTCAATGCCGCACAGCCAGTAAGCCGAGATGGGCACTCAATCTGTCTACCTTCCAGCCTGGCGTTTGCTTAATAAATGTTGCACTGATCCAGTGGCTAAAGAGGACAGAGAAGCTGCTCGCTCCCTGCCCTCTTCCTGCTTAGCCCCACCTTTTGACCCTCAAGCTCCTGAAACTGCCAGGAGAGGGCAGCTGGTGGCTTCCGGGAGCCTGACCACAAGCCCCAGCAGAGCTTAAAGGCAGAGGGAGGCTGAGTCGGTCTCCATGTGGCCGGAGGGCGGCAGCCAGGCCGGACGATGCCCCGTTGGGAAGCGGGCCTGGGGGCACGGGCCTGAGGCTGGTCCCCGGGGGACCAGGCCCGTGGGCTCAGTGGCCGCGCCTTGGTAAGCCCGAGGGGCAGCAGTGGAGCCGAACTTGAGGAAAAGTTGGCGGGGGGCGGGCTGGGCTCTCCAGCGCTGGCGCTGGGACTTTCTTCTTGGGTTTCAAGTAAACAGTCTCGGCCCTCCTCCCCCTCCCCTGCCTCCACCCCCGGCTCCTCATTCGATGGGTCTCATGTGTTTCTATTTAAGGGCTGCGAGTAAACCCCAGTGATTGGCGGCCTCAAACCCTCTTGACTTCTCGCCTGGGCCCAGCCTGCCGTGGAGCCGTCCTCTCCCGCTCTCTCCCTCTCCCGCCCAAGGGGAGGACTACTGACTCTCTTTCTCTGGGTTTACAGGGGTTGGGGAGAGGCCCGAGCCCTCCTCCTCGCCTGGCCTTTCCTCTCGCCTCTGCTCCGGCCTCAGCCCCCATGGGCCACCCGCCCGCCCACCCGCCTGCGGCCCTCCCCTCGCACCCCTGCGGCCGAGGGGTCCGGAGAGACCACGTCCGCCCCAGGCCTCTCCTCCGACTCCCTCTCCCTCGTGCTGGGCTGTGATTAATTCATCGCGGCCGCAGGCTTTTTCCTCTGAGTCCCCTCGGCCTCTGTCTCGTCTCTGTCTCTCCCTCCGCGCCCCCCACCGCTGGCCCCCGGCTCCCCATGTCCCCCGGTCCCCGCGGCACAGCGGGCCGGTGTGGGGCCCTGCTATATGGCCTGTCCTTGGGGCCCGGCGAGCTGCGAGCCCTGGCTGCGGGCGGCCCCTCCGAGCGGCGCTGGCGACCGAGCAGCCTCCCCCGAGGCCGATGGACAGGGGGCGCCCCGGCCGCGGGGCCATGGCTGGCCGCTGGCTCACCGCATGCTTTCTGCCCTCGCCAGGTGCCGACACCCACGCCGAGCCCATGATCCTGGAACAGTACGTGGTGGTGTCCAACTATAAGAAGCAGGAGAACTCGGAGCTGAGCCTCCAGGCCGGGGAGGTGGTGGATGTCATCGAGAAGAACGAGAGCGGTGAGTGCCCAGCTGTCTGGCGGGCCACTCGGGCGAGGAGCCCGGCTGGTTTTTGTTCCCCTCCTCCTCCCCCACCTCTGCAGCTATACGTTATTTCCATCTGGCAGGGAGAGGGCCGAGGAGGCTGAAGTTTCCCCTGTTGGTTTGGGCTGCAGGCCAGCAGTTTGCCTGATGGTGGAAGAATGTCTCCACCACTCGGGGTAATTAACTGGCTTGTGTTAATGCAAGGCCAGGGTGGCAGCATGAGCACGACTGTCCAGCCCATGTTCAGGGTCCCTGTGCCCTCTGAGGCCCGGGGGAGGTTGCTCCCAGCTCAGGGGCATCCTACAGCAGCTTCCCCCTTGGGGCCATGTTCCAAACTGGGGACGAGGCCGGGGTGGGAGGACCCGGCTGGCTGGTGGGGAGGGCAGGCCATGACGTCACTGTAGGGGTCCCGGGTCCTCAGGCGGGTTGTCTGAGGAAAGGTCAGGCCTGTGGAGGTTGGCTAGTGTCTGGGCGGTGAGCTGACTGCCCCCCTGCTGAGCTGAAGGCCGCCAGGCCCTGGGAAGAGGGCCCAGACAGGGGGATGAAATCAGGTCCTGGGGCCAGGGAGGGTCCTGTAGCAGCCGCCCTGTCATTGGGAACTGAGGCTTTGTCTTGGCTGTCCAGGGGCCTGCCAGTTCCAAGGTTCTCACCGTGTAGGCCTCAGTGCCCTTGGCAGCAGGGGTCTCTCAGGTGGAGAGAGGAGGGCCTGAGTCCGTAGGTCTGAGGTGCAGGCGTGTGTGACCCCTGCAGAGCCAGGGATGAACTCTGGCCCAGGATATCCATCATCAGTTTGCTCATGACCTGCTGGCGCTTGAATTGGTTCCTGGGGTGTTCTGTTTTGGTTTCGGTTTGCTGTGGGGGAAGGCCCCCGTGCGTGCGGGCGCGTTGGAGCCTCTCTGAGCTGTGTTTGGAGGACACTCCCAGGGGGGAGGGGCCTGTTCTTCTTTTCCTGTTCCACTCTATTCCCCTCCAGTATTTTAAGCTCTGACAGGAAGACAGATCAAAGGCTGTCTGTGCCCATTCTATAGATAGAATAACTGAGGCACAGAAAAATTGAGGGGAAGTGAGTCACCTGAAGTCAAAAACAGAGCAGAACAGCTCTTGGGCCCCTGATTCCTATGCCTGTGGGCAGCAAGTAGCTGTAGAGATACTGAGGAAAGCCCCGTGGGCCTCCTCGGGGAGGTGAGATTAGGTTCCTGCTGCAGGAGTCTCAAGAGCTGTGCTCTCTGAGAACAGGGCTGTGATGCCAACAAAGACCTGACTTATGGCCCTCTTGGGTCTGGAGTCTTCAAAGCTTGTTCCCCTCAGAGGTGGCAGGCTCTGCCCTTGTGCCTGGTTGGCAGTGGCTGTCACGAGCATGAAGGCCTGGGCCCCTCACCCCAGGTGCCCACACTGCTCTCCTTCCTGCACCGCTTGGCTTTCAGCCTTTGTCACAGTACCAGCCCCACCTCCCCGCCCCCACCCAAGCTGCATTGTCAGAGGGGCCTGGCCCTAGCAACCCTAAGCACCTCAAGACCCAAAGGAAGGGCTCTCTAAGGGTGGGATTGCAGACACCCACTGAGGAGAGAGAGAGATGTTTGTCTTGGGGCTTGCTCCAAAGGAAGGCGTGTCGGCTTTTCCATATAAAGTCAGGGCTGCTCAAAAGTAGACGTCTGGCTTAGGGACCCTCTGCCTTGTGTCACCAGCACAGCTGTATAGCCCTAAAGCAGCAGGAGGAGTGAGCCCCCATGTCTCTGGGTACCAGCCACTGGCCAGGGTGGCTGAAGAGGAGACCCCACACAAAAGGCAGTCAGCCTGTTATCAGACTCCCTGCTTCCCTTTGCCTCCCACCCCACATCCAGGACCCTGCCTAGGAGTGGAGGAGGGAAAGCCTTGACGAAGTGGGGCTTTTGCGGCAGGCCTGCAAAGTATTAGGCACCTCCTTCTCCTGAGGAGTCCCCGATGGCTGTTTAAGGGGGCTCAGGTAGCCTGAATCCCCAGAGAAGCCCAGTCTGGTACACTGATCCTCTGAGGGAGCTGCCATCTCTAGAAGCAGGGTTCTGCCCACTACCATGTACCGGCTGGGCGACTTCAAGCCCCTTGCTCCCTCTGGGCCTCAACTCTCCCTTCTGTAAAATGGAGACAGTCTTGTGGCTGCTTGGAAACAGGGCCTGGAGTAGATGACCTCCCCAAGCCCCCTCCCAGATCTGGGCTCCGAGGCTGGGAGACTCCTTAGGGCCCTGGGTGTTGGGCAGACAGAACCCTGAATGTGGCCTTCCCAATTCTCTGGGCTTTGTGTCTCCCCCCTTGATGGAAACAGCTGCTCAGCAGCAGATATGTACACGGGGACCTTGGAGGGCTGTGTCCACGGTGCAAACCCGCACCGTCTGTTGCTGTCAGAAACAAGGAGGCCTCCTAGAGTGTACAACCAGCGTAACCAGAGAAACTAAGTGGGTGGAGGGGAGCAAGGAAGAGGGCCAACTGCAAGTCCTTGGGAGGGTGGTTTCCCAGTTCAAGGAAGCCGGATGGCTGACGGCAGGGGGAGGGGAGGTGTGTTGGGCATCCTGCAAGCTGGCTTTGGAAGGAGTGGTGAGTGAGGCTTTTGAACTCTGGAACAAAGACCCAATTGTGATGCCTTTGACCTTAGGACTTGGTGGGCGTGTTGAGGCATTTCCACTTAAATTGTTGGGGCAGTAGCCCCAGTTAGCACCACCCTGCCCCCTGGGGCCTTGCCTTGCCTGCTGGGAGCCAGGACTCTGCCTGTGTCCCCTTCTCGCTTGGCTGAAAGTCCCTCGCGTAGAATGTTCAAAGAGGGACCCAGCCATCTCTGGTTCTGCTTGCTCATCAGAGCCCTCTGGCAGGGACCACAGCCCCTGAGGGATTTGGAAGTGTGCTTGTGCCAATGCTCTGTAATCTCATTGGTCTAAAGAGAGATGTGTCTGATGAAAGGCAATTCAGCATCAGTAAACAGTAAACACCAGGTCTAGGCCATGCACTTCACATGCATCATCTCACTGGCATCATGGAATGACCCCGTGTGGTAGAAAGCACTCTAATCATTTTGTGGCTGAAGTAACAGGCTAAGAGGTTAAGTCATTTCCCTAAAGTCCCAACAGCTGAGATCTCTCCCTTATACGGAGCAAGTGTGGGGAGGGGTGAGAATGGGCTGATCCTGGGAGGGATCATCACTGAGCTGGTGATGCTGTGGGTCAGGGACAGACATGGGCTACCCGAGGGCGGTGTATACCCAACACCAAGGACAAGCCTATTCTAGGGAATGTAAGTGGATAGAAGTCAAAGACACCCACAGTGTTGGGACCTGAGTGGCTTCAGGGAAAGCATTTTTGATCAAACAGTGGGCCTGGGGCCCAGCCAGAAAAGGACTCTTTTCCTTCATTGATAAAGGACAAATCTAGCAGAAAGATTAGCAACTTTGTTAGCTTTGCCAGCCATTTTTGTCTTGTCCTTGAAAACCCCTCCACCCTGACATAAACAACAACGCCTGAGATACCACCTTTGTAGGACATTCTTACACCTCAAAGACCACATTGGCTTTACCTTCCAGGAGGCAAAATCTGGTCTAACTTCTGGCAGAATGGTGATGGCAGGGTCCCAGTTGCTCTGATTTCTGTGTTAAGCAAAGCTGCTTCCAACTTTCCAGGATGGTTTCCTTCTCTCAGGGTTAGGAGCCAGGGGAGGATGTGGGGATATGAGTCAGCAGATGCTCACTCTTTTCCTGCTCCAGCTTTCCTTCTCTGAGTCTTTGCGTCTTTCCTGGCACTAGTGTGATAACCCTGGGAGATCTTATAGTTCCTTGGAGGCACATAGCTATTTGACTAAGGTAAAAGCATTGTGTTGGCAAGAAGTTTTGAGCTCCTGGTCCATCCAGGTGAGAAATTGTACAGGTGAGAAAACTAAGCCTTGGGGAGTTTGAGAATCTTCAGTCCCCTCCAAAGTCAATGCTTTAGTCCCAATTGAGTTGTGAGCAGAGGACAGATGCGCACTTAGACTTGCTCAAGAATCTACTGAAAGGATTCGGGAAAATCTCACCAGAATCCCAAGGGTGGGAAGTACATCCCAGCCGCACAAGGACTGGGAACCAGAAAGCTGGCACGAGACAACGCAGCTCCTCTTCTTGGGTACCATGTGGATTTAAAGTCCAGCTGTCATCTCCTAACTGCAGACCAACCTTCCTTGTCTTGCTGTTCACTTGTAACAGTGGCCTGTTCACCTGCTGTTGGTTTGTTGAGATAACTGCCACCAGCTGACAATGGTCTCTGGTTCTCTGAGTTCAAAATTTGAAGTTTGAATCTGATTCGTTTCTGGCCAGCCAATGGATGGGCAGACCTTAGATCAGGTGTCCAACCCTGGGCCAATCAGCTGTGTCCGGGGGAAGGGTCATGGGGTATAAACATGGCTGCCTTGCCAACCTATTCCGCAGTGGCTGCTGGAGCACAGGTTTTAACGAGAGGAGGTGATGGGGGGTAAACTACCCCAGAACACATTGGCTGCATCTATTCTACTTATTTAGCAGCTGTGCGTAGTAAAGAGAACAAAGAATCAGGAGTCTATTAGGTTTAAGATCTAATGCTACCCTAACTGTGTGATATAAGCAGGAATCCATTTCCTCCTGAGTCTAAGAGAATAGGGATGCATCCTACATGGGCTTTGTTTTTTCCTTCAATGAAACGTAACTATTCATTATTTGAGGAATATCTTTATCAAGAAGACAGACTAATAAGCTTTCCCCTCAGACTTGTGTGTCATAATGATTATTTTGTGTTGTCAAAGATGATGCATTCTTCAGCCGTGTATTTTGTGAGTTGGAATCTTCTTAACACTGAAGATGTATCTATTCTGTTACTTAGGTATTTCTTCATGAACATTGTTATAACTGGTTCTACACGGACTTATTGTAAGTGAGAAATACACTGTATATCCTCATCGTTTATTCATTCTTTCATTTATTTCTCAAGTCTTGAATACCTCTTTTGTCC